AATATTAAAATACTTTATATTACACAAGTATATAGTTAAAGAGATGCATTATGATTTGGAGCTGGATCTTACTTGTTGATAAACTTAATAAATTATGTTCATTAGTACGAAAATGGCCAGCAACCATCTGATCATATTGATACTGTGATTGGTATGTAGTGGGTGTAGATCCATGTCCTCCTATTACTAGGAGGTATTCTGTACCCATAGACTCCATACACACCATACCACCAAACCCTCTCTTCATTACAATATCGCTACTTGATATTAACTTATTCCATTCATAATTTAAAGTATTAAATAAGTTGACATCATTATGATAGCAGTTGTCATGTCCACAGTAGCCGCCCATATAAAAGATGTCATTGTTTCTGACAGTACAGAAGTATCCTATAGGTCCTAGAGGAGGTGACGTTCCTCTGGTCACGTGAGAGGACCAACGACCAGTCCTAAAGTCCAGTCTATCAATGGTGGAGTACAACTTTATCTTTTGAGGAGATTCATGTACTCCATGATACCAAGGCTTGGACCCTCCCCATACGAACAAAAATTCCCCTACTACAGGAGCTGAATGCTCAAATATCTCACCAATACCTGTAACAAGAAATAATAATGAGAGAAAGAAAGAGAAAGAGGAGACAGGGAGGGAAGGGGGACAGAATACTAACCTTTAAACGAAGAACTGGAAGAAGCCATTAATGTTGCTGTGTTGCTTGTTTAGTTTGCATTTTGTCGAGGCATTTGTTCAATCATATGACATGAAGGACCACGCCCTGCTATTGTAATAAGGCGGATTAAGGCCAGGCTGAGCTGGCCCTGCTGTACTAACCATGCTGGCCTGATCTGGCCCAGCTCACTTCAGCTCAGTTTAATTACTGTTTACACTATCAAATGAAACTGTGCTGACCAACTTTAAACAGGGCTGGCTTAGTTAAAGAAGCTAGTGTAAACACAGTATAAGTTAATAGCTAACTTTTATATTATTTTGTGGGGACACATTCTTTATAATAAACACATATTCAATCATTTACCAATTTCAAACCTTCTCTCTGTTGTAAAGAACCAGTGATGACTATTATCCTAACCTACAGGCTACCCTTTCCCCTACTATTACTAGCCAGTCTCATATTCTCTCATATTCATAATGGAACTGGACAGGAGCAGGGCCCACATACATGTAGTTATGTACATTAATTAATAAATCAAAATAAAAGGTACACATCAATGGGTATATAAATAATTATACATGTATACATCATGTATATTAATTAGGTGCATGTGTGATAATAATAAAGTTACATGTTCATTGCTTGTTCCCAATCTTCCCTTAACATGTCAGCAGCATCAGCTACTGGTCCCCCAACATTAGATAATGCTCCTATTAATGTCTCACATCTTTCCTTTAGTTTAGACTGCCTGCGTATGAAAGTAAGGCCAGCTAGGAAAGACCCAATGATGTCATCATAAGATGGTGATCTGTGTATATCTTGTGATATGATACCAGCTTGAAGGAGCTGATCTGATATGCTTTGCAATGATAAACTGAAAGCTCTCTTTAAAGCAACTTGATTCTTCATTAAAACACTTTGAACTTTTCCTTTAACAATATCAAGATCAACAGTACCTACATACAATATCAGTTCACAACTGATCAATATACATGTAGTTATAATACCTGTTCCTGTTGTACTTCTAGCTGTAGCCTCAGTTGGTCTATTGTTACTAGTAGTAGTAGTATCTGATGTATCAACTAATAGATATTATACATAAT